CAAAAAACAAGAAACATATGAAAATAAATATTGAAAAGTACTATATGTCGTGAAACAATGCTTTTTTATCATTACTGTAATTATTCGGAGGAAGATATGACTAATCCAAAAGTTGATTTGATTGTTATAGAGTTAGAAAAAAAGAAAAATAATTCATGCCGATAGGTCCAGTATACGGTCTGATCGGTACCGGTACTAGTTTCGGCTCTGATTAAATCTACGATTGATATCAATGAGTAGTAATATTATTCTTTTATAAGTTTTTCACATAAAATTCAGAGATGAACAACTTCACTCCTATATTCTACAATTCCACTCTAATTTGAATGAGAACAAATGTCAACTTTAAAATCAACTTCATTTCTTAAGCTTATTTTGATAAACAAAAAGCAATCCTCTCATTCATTCGGTTTGTTCAGACATCAATGTATTACATGCAAAATTTTCCAACAAAACCATTTTATCAATATCAAAAATAATTAAAATATTGCATTTGATAGAAAAATATCTTTACAACTTGACTACAGATTGTTGAGTTCCTTTATATAGTACAATGCTTTCATGAATGAAACTGAAGTTATAACGTGCGGATCATAAATAATGGCATTATTTATATTTTCTTTTTATCATATCAACGTTTATACGTAGAAAATTATGCTTGGTTTCAAACGATTCGCTGCTCAATTCTTAATAAACTTACACGAGAACATTAGATGTAATCTTCAAAGTTGACAAAAGAATCAAATAATATTGAGTCTCTCCGATATTATATACTGTTTTCTAGAGGACGTTTTTCAAACATTTTTATTTTTGTTGAGTTTAAACTTAAGCATTGATCATAAGTGCTTCATCTTCTCTTTCATTGACTTCCTTGCAAATTGATAGAAACTTTACATTGGAATATTTCACGGTTATGTCACGTACATAGTACGTGTCATAATATAAGTGTAGTAAAGGTATTTTCCCTAGTGAATTCTCTTGGTTTATCCCTTAGTATTTTTTCCTACTTCAATGTGATAACTCATGTATCTTTCTAACTATATTATGTTATAGGTATATTCCACTTCCTTCTAAGAACCGATATATATATATATATACTTATTGCTTTCTATCAAAGAGAGTTGGTGATTTAGAATTAAGATAAGAGAGTCACTTTAGAAGGATTAGTTTAGATTCAGTTATACTGATTAAAGATAAAAAAAATAATATACACATTAACGTTTTTATCATCGGACATAAGATCCACTCTGATCGTCTTTCATCAAATGTCTCTCACTTTTGAGAGAAAATTGATTCAAAGTGATAGCTATCGCGAACTATTATAAGAAAGGTCGACCCTTCTAAATATCGATATATGATGAAATAATTGGTCCTTAAAGATTTTGAAGTGCAGCTAGCAATCGACTACTAGATGGGAGATAAATAATTCCATGAAAAACTTAAAGTGTAGTGAATGAAATTTCGAATAGGAGTTGTTGTATGTTAAAAATTGGAAAAGATTGGATGACTTAACTATTGTCCAATTCTCGCGACCACTTTTAAGGTTAGATCTAAGTCTACCACGCGATTTTGCAGAAAATAGAAGAATGAATATGGCGAGGCGAAGCTCAGTTCTCTATCTACAAATGTGACCAAAATAAATAGAAAATCCGTCAACGCAATCCTTGCGGGATTAAAATGTGAAACACAATGTAGCTATTATTACTAATCACAGAGATATTGTTTATTCTGTCTACATTTCTTCACCTTCTCATTACTGAATCATTCAGGAATAGAATCATATATCAACAACGTCTGTCACAGTTCGTGTTGTTGTCTGATTAGTGTCTGCTGCGGTCTGTGAGAGGGAGAAGGGAAGGTGCAAATTCTTACCCTATATATTTTAGCATTCCTTTTACATCGCATTTTACAAAATATGGATAGTGCCATTATTTATGGTATACCAATTATATTAAGAACGAGCAAGCAATAATCTTTCTAATCTATAGTTTGGAATGTTTTTACTTTTCATTTCAGATCTTCAAAATTAAAAAATAATACTCATTACTTATGAGTCATGAATGTGAGTTTTATTATTTTTCTTAATGAGATGAAATATAAAGTTTTAGAGATTAAGATAGAATGAGTAAGAACAACAGAATTATTTTGTTGAACTTGGATCCTTAATAATATCCATCTTATAATCTGGACGAATTGCTCGACCAAAACTATCAGCATATAAATCAAGACGTTGTGTCATTCGAAAACCCCATTTATCTTTCATTTGACGACATAAATTTAAATCACATTCAGTGACTAAAAGTCCATCACGAATTCGAGATAAACCCTAGAAAAAAAAAGTAACATGACATGAAAACAATATTCTTTCGTAAAACTTACAGGTGTTCGACTACCATCAGGTGATGCTACATAACTACTTCCTAAGAGAAATAAAATAATTTAGCTAATTTGTTATCAGACTCAAAAAAATTACCATAAAAATATCCAAAATTCTTATGAGCTGGTTTACTATCACCACTTGTAAATTCATTTGGAAATGTTTCAGTTCCAACTCGATTAATACCTACTGCAAAGTAACTATTTGCAATAGCTGCATTACGTGCTTCAATACTCCATAAAGGTTCACTAGAACAATATCGAAATTCAAATTTTATAATCTAAGAAATAAATTTAAAATTTACCTAAGTGCTCCAACAGTCGCACTGGGATTAAAAACGACTAAAAGAAGAAAAAAAAGGTTTTTCTTCTTTTTCACCTAATTACTCGGAATACAAACTTACTTTCGGCACCATTTACACCATACATAAGCCAATTTTGTGGATGATGACGTCCATAACAAATATTTACCGCAATCCGGCCTTAAAAAAATTGGTAAATAGATGCTGTTCATATAATACAATGAGAAAAAAAAATATACCAAAATCTGTTTCGAACACTTTATGACCAGTATTGCCTTCCATATAATAAGTTGACTAAATTAAAAATTTTGATTAATATATATCAATGAACTTATTCAATCAACATTACTTCATTAAAATCACCAACTAGAAAAAAAAACAATAAAAAGATGATATTGAATTATTAGAAAAAACAAAAAGAATTTTTACCTCTTGGAATGTGGTTTTTTCGTGTAATACCAATAACATTACCATGATTTGAAATAATTACCGCTGTGTTCCAAAAAACATCACCATGTGCTTCATCACGTTCTAATATTGGACTAACAATAACCATATTATATTTTTTTGCTCTCTAAATTTTAAATCATCAAATAAAAAACAAGCATATTGATTTAGAGGAATTCAAACTTCGGCAAGAAATTTTGTTGTTGGTCCATCATATGCTGATTCAGCAAATTCAACCCAAGGATATTTTTCTCTTGTACAAAAAGCAAATGGCATGGCTAAAATTCAATGACTTTTATCATAAACAAAAAGTTATATGAAGAATACATACTCCATGCTTCTTGCAAACAAAGTACATTTACTTGACATTCATGCGCAACAGCAAGCATTTGATCAATACGTTGATGAATTGCATTTCTCTATCATAGATATATATATATACGTAGATCTAACTAATATTCTAAATAAGAAAACTTTTATAATACTTGTTCTTCAACACTAGCTGTAGTTGGTTTTTGAATAGCATTTTGAATAGCACCAATACGAACTAAACGTGGTGATCGTGTTTGTTCTTTTTGTGCTACTTTTATTTGATAACCTTGAAGATCAAAATTATTTTTTTTAGCTATTTCTTTTGCATTGGCTGGTAATTCAATAGCACTTAATTGAAAAGAAGAAAATTTTAAAAATGTAGTTCATAAATTTAATTCTTTATACTTACGTTGAACCTGGCCCACGAAGAGATAAATTTACTTTTTCAAGTACATCTGCTGGTAAATGTTCAGATAAAATTGATTCTAAACTTTCAAATTTATCATCTAAACTAGCTGCCATTTTATCTAAAATAAGAAAAAAGTTCTGTCTTCTCATGTCTTATTAAAATATAAATAACAATCGAATGAAGAAACAACACAGATCACATTTGTAAGATAAGAAGCAATTTAAAAAAAAATGCACCATTTCATACAATTAGAGAAGGTTATCTGGTTTTTGTCATAAGTAAGCCTATTGGACAAAAATAAATATCAAATCTTTTGTGAATGTTAAGCTTAGTAATCTAATACGTTAGTAAGCATAGTCGCAGCTATTCGTTGCAATCTTGGTGTTATTTTTTTTTTTTACTCAAGTTTCATAAATTATATAAATAATCAATAGACTTGATCTTATATGTTAGTCAATAATAAGAAAAGCGTTTCTCTCTATGTATTGAATAGTTTTTGTCTTTGTCAAGGGAAATATAAGATCACTATTATCACAATTAACAAATAAAAAAATATTAGTTGACATCTAGAGTCATTCCTAAAATGATATCTATTTCTTACTTTTAATGGAGAGCCTAAATAATTTATTATAAATTCACTAGTCAATGTTTCTTATTTGCAAAAACTCAATTATCAGCGTATTTCTTGAAACGAGGTTACATGCTTTCAATAGATATTCAATACTCTCGAATCTCGACAGTTAAAAGTGATTGTTAGGAATATAAACTCGATTTAAATACCCATTATACAATAGAACAAAAAAGTGATAGCCGATGCATACAAAAGGCAATTGTTTAGCGCTTTATCAGTGTATGTAAATACATTATGTGTGAGTAAATACAGCTGTTTAAGTTTGATTTTATTGTGTAAATTAAAATAAAAGGGTACTTAAAGCAGATGTAGATTTTCCATTTCATCACAATATAAAAAGACGTAATAACAGATGACAAATTTTGTTTTTAACAAAAAGAAAATAGTCACACACAACCGAAAATCTCTAACAAATAATGACAAGACAAGCAAGTGTAATAAATGGAACATATGTGAAGATCTTTTTAATGTCATTTTGAAAATATTTAAAAAAAAAAGAAAACATTAACAAAAAAGTCGTCTTTCAATCAAGCATTTCAAATAATTTGCCTTTTTTCCAGCCAACCAAATCTTTTTTTTCATGTGAACCACTTGTTATTGTTGCTGGAAATAATAAACACGCATAATCTTGTTTTTGATCATCATTGCTAATTTCAAGCTTGACATAAAGTGAAAGTGATGGATATGCTTGTAAAACAGGTAATGACATTGATGCTATATTTTTATCATTTGCACTTATTGGACATTTAACATTCAGGTGACAAGCATTAGAATCTGGTAATGGAAATGGAAGTGGAACACCACCGATAACACCTTTCATTAATAAACAAAGAAAAACAAAATATTTTAGAAAAAAAGACAAGCATTTTTTCATTTACCATGAATGCTAACCGACGCTGTTTTTGATGGAGCATGTGCCGTAAATGTTAAATTCATTGCATATGTTTTGCCTTTTATAAATTTGCACGGAGCAGTTGGACAATCAGTTACTTCAAAGGCTTCAATTACACCGAGTTTTGATCCACAATCTTTAAATGGTGTTCCTGCCCATAATGAATTAATTGAACAAGAAAATACGATGAGAATAAATAATGTTAACATAGCTAGTTCCTGTCTGAAAATAGAGATATCCGAACAAATTAAAAAATGTGCATTCACACAGGTATTTATTGAAGTCTTTTATTTAAAAAAGATAACAACAACGCGATGATCGAACCATCATTGTGTACTCAGGTGGTTTTTATCTCATCTTTATTCCTCGGTGCAAATACTAGTTTTTATTCTGTTGAATTTTTTTGCTGTTTTCTTGGTTTGTTTCTTTTTTATTTCACATACGATTCCATATTCTGATGACATACGACGAAAAAAGAGAGAAAAAGAAAAACTAGACACATAAACAAATACATACATACACACGACCGTATAAGAGATAGACTGTGCTGTATAAATAATAAACAAGCGAAAATATAACACAGAAAAAAAAAGCGTTTGAGTATTAAATAATAGACAAATTTCACAATAAAAGAACCGACATCAAAATTGAGCGTGTAAAGCTATTAGTTCTCTTTTTAATTCAGCAATAGTAGATCTTTTTAGCTCGAATATGGATTTCTGGACCAAATCTTAATATCACAGTTATCTCTCTCTACCCACACAAAACAAAAAAATTAGTGTTTGTTTTTTTTTTCTAAGTATTCGTGGTTTTTTTTTGTTCTTTAAAGAAAGAAAAACGCAAAAAAAAGGAAAACAAGCGCAGCACATCTGACAACCGATGATAAGTATTGGTAAAGAAATTAACGTATTGAATCGCGTGGCTAAGTATGAACTCGGTTTAAATGAGAAATAAAAAGCAAGCATTAGATAATATATATATATATATAGAAATCTAGCATACGAATACTACTACTTCGATAGAAGAAGAAGAAGAAGAAGAACAAAATCAATCAGATCAATATAATAGAGTATATAAGCAAACGAAACTATTAAACATCAAGTAACAACATTAAGAGAAATCAATATATAGGAAAATATAAAAAACAAAGACGAAAAAGAAATCAACGCAATAGAGAAGAAAATGCAAAAAGAAAACCACACACAATGTACAATATAATGATGAGTTTATTTTATGTGCAGTACGCATATAATTCACTGTTCAAAGAAAAGAATTAAAAAAGAACAAACCAATAAACCGAAGAATGAAAAAAGGCACCGGGCCAAATATACAAACAAATTAGCACACATATTTTTTTAGACAGCTGTCACTTGTTCATGTTCGTCGTAATCGACTGTTGTTTCTTCTAGAAGAAAAAATAAAACAAAAAAAGAAGTTATTTCAATTGAAACAAAACATATTTTGTCGAAAAATATGGGTAAACGGGTGAAAACTTGTGAAAAATTCAGAAAATTGAAAAACCAAAAAAAAAGTTAATCGATCCAATTTTTCAAACATTGCTATGTTCTTGTTTTTCACAAAAACAAAATGCTTACATAGAATCTGTTCGACGTAAATTTCCTTTAAATTAATAAAATATAATCTCTCTCTCTCTTATTTATTTATTTTTATTTCAATAGTTAATAGTTACCTCGATCAGGTACATCAGCTGTAGTGACTTCATTTTCTGACTGAGAACGTTGGAACCAACTACGTGCCGTCTTTGAAATTTGTGCACTATCATGACGATTTGCTAAAAACAAAGGTCAAAATTAAATTTTCGAAAATGTTCTCTATCAAATGTCATGTTTATGAGGATACTTCACTGTTAGTTAGTTCTTTTATTAAAAGAGACTTCGGGCTAGGATTTTTTAATGAATATTTTGTTCAAATTGTGATGTGTGCTTTTTTTATCGTCGAAAGATTTTTCTTATGGAATTCAGTAGCCTTTAAAAAGTTAATACCAACAACAACAAAAAAAAACACTTTTTTGACGGTACTTTCAGTATTTTGCTTTGCCTCATCTGTAGGAATGATAGTTTTGAAAGAAGAAAAAAACACGCATCTCGATTTGATCCTAGTTTTCATAAAAATGCAGCTTGGAAAAATAAAGTCTAGAGCTTTGCGGAGTGAAACTTTCGAATAAATCCCCTGATACTTAATTCTTAACCTCTGACATCGTATATACTAACAAACTGAATGATGGTATTTCGATTTGTTGATATATATATATATTGTCAGAGGCTAAAATTTTAGTAAAATGCGTATAATTTTGAACAGAGGGCTTTAAAGAATTTGTCCTTTGGAGTCTTTTCATATTTCACTACAATCTTCTTTATACACAGACTCCTAATTCATAAGATCAGTTGCAAATATTTCCTGTCTAGAGAAAGCCTATAGAAAGAAAAAAGTATTATCCGAATTTGATTAACTGTCATATTTGTTTTATCTTACCAGATGTGACAGAATGTGATTGTGGTAATGGAGGTCGATTTCGAATTTTAACTGATGAAAATCCATCATTTATTGTACTAGTCGATTTTTCACTTCCATCACCAACACCTAAAATATATTACATAAATAAATAAACATAAAATATTCTTGTAACATACAAGTATCCGTTGAATTAAGACTACCACGTCCAGAATCACCACCAACTTCTTTTATTAATTCACTATTTGTTTGATTTAATTCTTTAAATAAAATAAAATAAATAATTAATTATTTCGTTTTTTGTTTTTGTCTAAATATTTTCTAACTTACGAGTATGAGATCTTATAAGATGTGTATATGATGTTGATGCTGGTGGTTTAAAATTTAAACTTGAACTTTCACTTGTTAATTTATTTGTATCACGTATTTTTGTTATATGACGATGATGATGAGTCGATTCAGCTAATGATGAAAGTCCTGTTGTTGCTGTTGCTGTTATACTACTTATTATTGGTGATGTTGAATTTGGTACTGATGTACTTAAAACATTAGATGGTATTGATGTATGATTTGGTCGTTGTGGTGCACGAGGTTTTACTTGATGACTACTATCGGTTAGACGAAGTAATTTATTAACAGCATCCGGTGATTGTGTACCTGAAAATATTCGAAAGAACAAAAATAATTAACAATTTGTTTTCTTCTGTAGAAAATGTAAGCATAATAGTAATGAGGTAAAACAACATGCGGAAACAGGGGTATTCCAAGTGGTGGAGGAAGAGAGGAGGTTTGAACTCTTCCAACTGAGTATTTAAGTGGACATTTGGCTAAAACTGAAAAGCGTACTTTTTCAAGATTTATATATATAGGAAAATATACTTTGAAATATAGCCTATCTAATGGTATAAATAACTTTGTTACTATCCTCAAGGAAACTGAGAATACAGCTGCACAAATATTAGTCTGAAAATCATGATGTCATCGAGAACATTGATATCTGACAAAATGAAACTGTTCGATAGGCAAAGTAACTATATTTTCTCTATCTCCAAGCCGAACTCTATACAATAGTAAAAAATAATTTTCAATTTGCACGTTTAAAATTTTAGGAAAAAAAACCATAATATTTTTTTCTGCAGTATCGTCCTAACGACTACTTTCATAAAAAGAGAAATCCACCCACATCCAACCTTCAAATTCTCCTAGAATATTCTTCTATCTATTGTCTCTAATCCCTAGTCATATTCCATAATTTCTGAGCAACGAAATTCGTTTTTGTGTAAGAAAGCCATATATCCGCCTGCCATACGAAAGACTCACATTGTGTCCTTTTTAATTTTGACAAGTTATCGTTTTTCTCTTGCTTATCTATTTCCAATGAAATGATCAATGCTCCGAAGATTCGATTAACTTTAGCAAAAATCTTCCAATCAATCTTCTAATAAGAAATGTCCTACAACTGATAAATCGTTTTCGAGTCATGATTACCTGGAAAAGATTTCACGTCTTTAGTCTTTTGCTACGAAGATACAGAACTTTTACATTATTTTTTGAAATAAATGTTCGTAGTAACTTTCCATAGAGATAGACTTTTGATTCACTTTTATTCTGAAATAAGAGCATTAAATTTGTTGGTACATAGAAGTGGTGTAAAAAACATGATGTTACCATAGCTGTCTCTTAGGATAAGAAAAACAACAAGATCTGAAACATTTGCATAAAACGTATTCTCATTAAGGTTTATCTCTATGCAAGATTTCAAATTGAAATTTAAAAATCAGTTTTCCTATTACAATAGCATTCATTTAAAAAACAACCTCATAAAAGTCTAGTATTATCCCTAGAAATAGGCCAAGGGCACGAACTCTATTTCAAAATATTCATAGCTCATATGAATTTACATAATGTACACAATGTCGACTCAAAATTACCTTGCGAATCAATCACTCTTCCCTCTTCCCTCTCCTCCCCCAATGCTAGCAACCTTGGAACACCCCTTTATGAAAACAAATATAACTTGTACAAAAATATACATATAAACATTATTCTTTTATTTTACCTGAAAAACTTCCTAAATAAAAGAAATAAAATTTACGAACGTTTGTTTTTTTGGCCAGTAATTCATTGAAAAACCTCGCGTAAAATAAGTTAGGGAAAAAAATTAGAATAAACATACCAAATTTCGTCAATTGTATAGAACCAGTACGACGATCACATGATGAATTTGATGACAAACTTGATGTTGATGGTGATGGACGGCGTTTAAGTGTGCTGACTAAATAAGAAAACAAAAATTAACAATTGAATTCTCATAGAAATGTCTATGATTAAAATAAATAAATAGCAAGCAGCAAACTGATTGATGCTTAGTGAGAGAAAAAAAAAGACAAGAGATCGTTAGAGAGCCTTATGATGCACTCTTATCAGCTAAAATACCATTCAAAAAAGCACTTTTAATAGCACTGAATGGTGTCGGCGATGTATTTGTACGTTGTCGAGTATGAACATTATTATTATTTTTTGTTTCTTCACTTTTAATGAGTATACTAGATCTTCCATTTTTAATATTATTATTGTTTTGATCATTTACTTTTGAATTTGTTGGCGAATTCACAATAACAAATTCATTATCATCAACAACCAATGAAAGTTTAGACAATGAACTTGATGGGGATGTAGGTGTGTTTCCTACTCCAGCTAAAGGAAACAAACGTGCTTATATTTTTAATACTTAAAATAATACAATATATATATATGAAAACAAAATAAAACATGCGCATACACATTTTGTGATATTATAAGAACATGCTGTTCAATTCCTTCGTTCCTTTTTTTTTGTGTGTGTGTGCTACATATTCTCACCAAATTCATTTATTTTTTGATTTGTATGCTCAAAAAAATGAAAAACTAGAATTAAAAATCTCATTTCGCTTTTGTATATTTCAAATACATGATTGAATTATAATTTTAACTTTATCTTATGAAATTTTTCGAAATCAAAACAATTTTTCTTACCTGGTTCACATTGATTGGCTATTTCCAGTAGACGATCTTCATCTTGAATTATTTCAGCATTATTTAAATAAGTTTTAACTTTTTTAACCATTAATGCCTAAAATATAAATAATAATAATTTTTCAAAAAAGAACAAAAGAAATTTTTCTTTTTCTTTACTTCATCATAAATTCGTTTAGCATTTGCCATAACAGATAAACGATTACCAGTTTGTTGTCTTCGCATTGTACCAAATGAATCTGTCGCTGAGTGATGGCCAAAACCAGCAAATACTTGTGCATGAGATGTTATTGAATCGAACATATTTGAAATATCCTATTCAAAAGAAAATAAATTTATTAATTCAAAAACAAAAATGTTGTTTTTATACATAAGGAGATGATGCCATGCTTGTAATATGTCGAATTTCTTTTGCAATCATACGAAGTTTTTCAAAATTAATCTAAAAACAAAAAAGTTTTGTTTTTTAATGCAATATTTCTTGCTTTTATTTTTCTTATTAATTACTAAGCCATCATCTTGTGTTGGATTTCCCAGATGTATAAATGTCAAATCTTTCATACACACCGGAAACATGGGAATCTAGAAATAAGAAAAAGAAATAGTACAATAGATATAAGAATAAATTTTTTTTATTACTTACAATTGGTGGAATAACAAATTCATTTTTTAATAAATTTCGGTAGACAGACATATTTCGGGATAAATCAAGCAAAGCTTTAAGCTCCTAAAAAAAAAGCAGAGAATATTATATTTTAATTATTTTAAACAAACAGTTTTGATTCATAAAATTTTGATGAAGGTATGAGTTACATTCGTAGATTAATATTCTAAAGATGAAAGGATAGGGACGTATAAAATGAGATTACTGAGTCTTTAAATTTAACGTATTTTTTATGGAGTAGAAGAGTTATTGGAATCGGTCATTTGATAAATCATTTTTCAGATGTGTCTAATCTCATTAGGAGATTTTATTGAGACTAGGGAAGGTCAAAAAGAATTCATATCTATGATTATTTATCTTTGAGTTATGATGATTTTAGTTAGTTTTTCAATAAAATGTCGTCGACTCGTTCAGATCATCTACAGATCAACTTTTGAGTTCAAATTTCGTACAAATAACATTCTGGAAGTATCATATTTCCCAGTATCTTCTTTCTTCAGATATTAACATCGACATTTTGATTTCAAAAATTTCTTTTTCTTTTATTCATAGCTTCGATATTAAGAAGTCTCACTCTTTCACAATAAACTCATTCTATTGACAACGTTATCTGTACAATTTTTGAACTCGTAAATTGAAAGTTAATTTTCAAAGTAATCTAAGGATAACTACAGTATTCCGTTACAAAAATCTGATTAAAATAGTCATAACTAGAGATATGTAGAGTCAATACCAGGTTCGACCCTGGCCATCGAGACCGGGATCAAAAAAACACTTGCTTTTGCACATCTCTAGCCTTAATAGGACCTATCAGATTTATCTCAAATGGAATTCATCATTTTATGAAAAAAATTACCGGACAATTAGTCGCATAAATAGTAATGAAAGAGAAAGATTATCATCAAATTAAACATTATTGGAAATAGCAGGCGAACTTTTTAATTTTGAGACTGTTTCGAGATTAAAGATGAGGGTCATAATAACTCATTAAGGTAAAATTTTGTGTCCTTCAATCTACTGGTTCGACTACTTTTTTTGAATATGGATACTAATTCAAAACGAATTTAAGCTTTTTGTTTTAGGCAAAATCGGACTTGTCTCTCAATATATCTTAAACATAGATCCAAACCTAATCAACAGAAAATTCTACTGTCAAACTTTTGCGAAAGAATTTTTAATTTTCGCCTAGTTCACTTCTTCCAGGGTGATAAGATAAAAAATTTCATTGCCCAAAATTATTTATCTTTTCCATTCCACAATAAATTAAGATAACAGTCTAAGAAAAGAAAACTTCTTAAAAAAATCCCCAAACTGTTCATTATACTTTCAAATATGCGCATATGATAGCATATGATTCGAATAAATAATACATATAAAAATAATCCTATCTAATATTGTATTCAAGTCCATAACGAAAAAAAAAAACGAAATTCATAGATAATATTTATTTTTGTAACATTGAGTTTTTTGTTTTTTTGGGTTCCGTTTATTTGAAGATTTTTCTTACCTCAAAAATTTTCTTATGTTTATCTTGTACACGTTCCCAAGTCGATTGTAAACGTTGTACACTTTTATGATCAAGTCCACTAATAATTGCAAACATTGAATTAAAATTTTTCACATCTTTACAACATTCTAAATGAAATAGATAAAAAGAAAAAAACAATTAAGCAAATAAAAAATTTCCTTTTGTTTTCTTTTTTCGAAAGAAATATTTTTCTTACTTGCAATTTTAATAAAATGTTTAATAACTTTTGAACGTTGTATTAAATTACTTTCACGCAATATTTCTGTTATTGTCCAATACATTTCTTGATTGGGTAATTTAAGAAATCTTTCTAATTGTGGTATGCCATATAAAGATTTTAATTTAAATATATGATCAATATATTCAGTTGTTTTAATAGATTTAAATATTGAAAAATCACGTAATGTTAATTGTGCACATATTTCAAGTGCATCTAATTGAAGAAAATTAATACGTGCTTCACGTAATAATTCATTTGATAAATTATCAGGTACAAGTGTTTCAGTTAAATGATTATTTTTTAAATAAAAGCGAGCATTTACTGGAAGACGTTCCGGTAAATTGTCAATATGATCAGGTAAACGTTTTTGTTTTATAACACCATTTTCAGCTGATACTTCACATAATGAATAACATCTTAACAAAAAATATTGCAATTTAATTTATGAATTAAGATATTAAATTTCGAAAATATACAAAAAAAGAAATCGAGCAGAAAAAAATGTATATATATAGAAAAGAAGCAATTTTGCATTCTTGTTTATTTGATAAAAAGAAAAAGAAGTGTAATACGATCTGTGATAGTTTAAATAGGGAAAGTGATTAAGCATTTTATAGCAGGTGAGATTCATGATACAATTCAACTTATATGCAAATTCTCTAATGAAAACTTTTTCAAATTTGAATTTATATTCGAAAGTGAACTTTTGTTTAAATCATTATTCATGCGCAATCGTACATTAAAAACTTTCGAATATTACTATTTTCAGTATACAAATTATTACATTTCGTAGCCAGTAAAAACAAAAATATGAAATCTAATCATTACAAATAGTTCCATCCCTTACGCGTGATAAGAGAAGAAGAGGTGCTTCTATGAAATATAGATATGAGGAGGACCAGTCATTTTTGGTTCCGGTCCCAGTTAGAAAAATAAATTTCATTCCGCTTTCATCGGAAGCGGAATAGGTATGATCTTGTCCATATCTGTTTATAATTGTGAGTCCTGACAATATGACATTCAATACAAATGTTACACAACTACAGAAGATATTGTACCTAATGAAAAGTGTTGGCCCTAGTCCCGAGACTGTGTTGCCTATGTCTAATAGAATATGCATCTCTGGGGAAAATTCTTTGCCTCTAGGAGATCTTAGTCATGATTAACCGATAGAGGTGTGAAAGCTTGTTTGTTTGGACGTCATTAGACATGTAAGTTAGCGGTACTCTCGGGAGCTCGCTTACTTGAATCTAAACTGAGTTTTGATGTAAGCTTCATGACCTTAAAAGGCGGTCGATTAAGGTTTTTCTTTGCTTTCTTATCAAATATATGGTTAAATCGAAGCTTAATCTGTGGATCCTTGACACTGGCAAGATAATTATCCATATGTCGCTCATCTAATAGAACATTTAATTCTGAAACTTACTGAAAAGAAATGTCAAGATATAGAGAAAGCTTTTTTGAAACTTTCAAATATATTGAATTGTTTCTGAGTGATGAATCTTGAAACGACAATAGATTGCCGAATCTTCACAAAATTTGTAGATATTTAGCGGAGACATAATGCCATATCATGATAAGTCTACGGACCCACAGCATTCTTCCCCTCCAGACTTATGATTCTTAAAACAAAAATAGATACCATTCATCGTAACTCAGTGTCTACTCCAGTATGTGGAATTCGGATTCTTCCATCAATCTACATTCATGATTCATCATGAATGCACAAACTTTTGAACCTCTATCTCTTATGGTGCCTCTAATTCGATGAGAACACAAACTTTTACCTATATATAGAAGTAGTTTCACTTAAAATTCTGTTTTTAAATATACAATAATCATACAATCGAATAAACATCTATCAGGGCTCCGCGTAACATGGGATGGGATAAGAAAATTTTTCGTCCCATTCCATTCCAGATTGGACAGAAAATATTGGGGGTCAATTCAATCCAACATGCGATATCTCACTTCATGGGACGATTTTTTTCGTCCTATCCTATCCTATGCCGAGCCCTGACATCTAAATACTAAAGCCAAAACTAATATTATTTCAAATATTAAGCAAGTGAATATAATTTCGATTTTAAATTTTTTAATCCAACTATTAAAAGAAAGCAATCGACATTTTCATTTTAAATGTCATAGATCAAAAGTGATTAAAATGAAAAAAAAAAACGATGAATATATTGAAAACGAGCAAATAGCGGTAAAAGAAAAGAAATAAATAATAAACTTACACATTGTCATAGAAGATACTCTCCCTGAATAAGGAAAAACAGATATAGCGTAAATTATATAACCCATAACAATACCCAAAAAACATGCACTTTTAGATGTTTATTTATTAGTTGAAAAGCAAAAAAAAAACTAAAGTAAAGTTTTCCCCGATCCCTCAAGAACAATTTCTTACCGGACTGGATCAAACTCTACACGCGAAGATGTATAACTAGAAAAATGATGAGGATTATATTCAATAGAGAAACTAATCTCATAGATAAATAGTAGATAAGAAAAATACAATAATCATCTATCTATTTACCTGCTTGGATCAACAATACCGAATTCAGTTATAGCTAACATGACAACTTGTTTTGCTGTTGTTTCCTAAAGAAAAATTAGTTTGTTTATTTTTTTTGTTTTTTTTTTTTTCAAATAAAATATTTCATAATCAAATTTTCTTTTCTCTACCTTATGTACAGGCAAAAATTTATATGATTGATCACTTCGAAAAACTTTAAGAACAAATGCGGAATGATCGTCATCATTAATTGGTGAATTTGTTGATAATGACATTGATTTATTACTAATTGATGATGGTGATAAATCTGGATTACTTGTACTTCGACTCATAATTTTATTATTTTGTGATGATATATTCGAATCAAAACCATTATCGAAATCAGTTGTATCAAGTTCACTGAAAAAAAGAACAAAAACAAAAATCAAATAAGATTTATATCAATTAATCATTGATTGGCTTTCAAAAAAAAAAAAATAATAACAAAGGTCATAGTGTTTCTATCGAAAATCCTTTTTGCCATTTATTTTTGACATGCTCGTATAATAGAGAGAAAATATCGAGCAAAAGCATCATTCACTTATTCTTTCTTTTAAAAAAATCAAAATCTGCAATCGTTCGATCAACGATGAAACAAGTAAGAAGCAGTAATTATATTTTTAGGAAAAGAACAGAAAACATTTAGATTCTGCGGTGTTCATTAAAATATGAAAAGCAGGTGTACGATAAGAAAATTTAGTGCAAAAATCTTTTACGTGATACTGACAAATGTTAAGAAACAAAATTAATTAACGTTACCTTGTTGACCTGAAAAAAAGGAAAAGTGTTTCATTTCTAATTTAATTTTTAATGTTAACAGGAGAAATATATTCGTTTTGCTTTTTCATTTTCGTATTTAAGGAAGAAAAAATAACCACCGATATATGTAAAAGACTGATTTTACATTCAGATGCGCGTATATACATTGACAAGCATAGACAATATTCATACACTACCCAAGAATAAATAATTATATCGGTAGGATATTAGAACAAATCATGCAGTACATGAAAGATGAACATCTCTTTTTTTTTTCTATTTACTATATTTGACAAAATTAAATTTTCATTTTGTTTTATTTTTTAAAATAATTAATGGAAAAATTTTTATCTTTTATCTACTTTTTTTATACTACAATCATAGTTTATAGGGTTATCGAGTTTATAAATGATTAGTCGCAAAACAAACTTTAATCAATTTCATTTTTTAGCTAATTGATTTAAATTCTCAGTATTCAATAGAATTGAAAGATGAATATATTCTGCTGATCTCATATTATTGTATTCTATAGGAAGAAAAAATCGAATATTCTATGTTCAAGATTTCTTCTTAGATTATCAGTATTTCTAATTGAAGGACTATGAACTTTAATGCAGATTAATATCTATATTTTTATCATTTATGTTTTATATAATGAATCTTATTCGTGAACTGATTGTTGACCATGTATATACATAAAAAGTGAGCGTATAGTATCTTATACGTTGCTGAGGGCGGTCCCTTTTACTTTCATCTGTCATTCTCAATTGTCTTGGTAGCTATATACTAACAAGACAATTGAAAATGAGAGATGAAAGTAAAAGGGGCTGTTCTTAGTAACGAATAAACCAGTATATGGACACTATATATATATATGCGTGGCCAACAAGTCATTCGCGAATAAGACTCATTTCAATAGTTTCTTAATAAACATTTTATTTTCAAAAGATGAATAAAGAAAATAAGAAATTAACGGTAATTCTACTTCTAAATAGAATCACTCTAATTAGATGATACACTATATTTTCTTCTTTAATTCTTTAGTTTAATGTCAAGGAACAACAACCATTATCTGTTTTATCACCACCAATATCAACAGTAACAATGAGTAGTACATCATTAGAATTAACAGATACAAACAATGGAGATATAAATCAAACTCAAATTGAAAATATATCAATAATAAAAACATCAACTGTAAATCTCGATAGTAGTGAAGATGATAGTACAGATAGTACTATACCTAAACCAAATAAAGAATTTCGTTTATTAAAATTAAAATTATTTTTTAAACGTTATATAAAACTTTTAAAACTTGTATTTCAATCTATAATACCTGATTTAAAATCATTTAATTGGTGGCAAACTTTAATACTTATATTATTTGCTGCATTTAATGTTGTTTTTTCTGTTTTGGTAAGATGTTTTTATTCCGAAATTATCTATTATCTTCTTTTATGCTAAGGATTTTAATTCATTTTTTCCAAATAAACAAAAATATTCAATATTAAAATTGATAAATGATTATCATGATGGTGTACCATTATGGCGTCGTATTTTATTATGTCTTTCTGGTGTTGCTGCTTTTACTAATGTACTTAATGTTGTTTTAGTTATACGTGGTAAAATTTCATCATATTTTTGGGGTATTATAGGTGCTATTATATATGGAGCATTTTCATTTGGATATGGTTATGTTGGTGATGCCCAATTATATGCATTAGTTTTTTTACCAATGCAATTTGTTGGTATATATATGTGGTCAAGAGAATTAGATAATCAAGCAACAACACGTGTTAAATCATTAAAATTAATTGGATGGATATTTATTATACTACTTTGTATAGGACTTGGTGCTGTATTTTTTTATGAAATACCAGCTTTTTCAAAATTATTGACATCACAATATTTGTTTGAAACTATGTTATTACCACATATACTTGATGCATTAACAAATGCATTAAGTGTTGTAGCACAATTTTTACTTATATTTTGTTATTGGGAACAATATTTAATGTGGATTATTGTAAATATTATGTCTATTATTATGTATAGTGGTAAATAAGATAGAATTATGAAGTGACGAGAAGAAAAGTTTAACAACAATATATTTTTCTATAATGTTAAGAGGAACTCTGCGCTCTCTATGCAGATATGAAACAGCAAAATTTTTTCAATTTTCGATTGTTCATCACTAATATAGCCGTGATGTATCTTTTGTGAAGTGCCACATAAACGAGGAGTCTTCTTTGTTAGTTAACACATTTATTACATCAAATTTTTGAAATTACTATTGAAAAACTCCCGTTACGATTTTTTCTATGCTATGAAAAATTCTCTTAATGATAATGATTCTTACGCGTTTTAAAGGTGCTTAGAATGTTGGTCATGAATCTCTGACATCATTGAATGTAGTCAATTTTCCATCAGTCTAATTTAGAAAAAAAGTCCTAATACGTATGGAAAATTTTGTTTTTCTCGCGGTCGATTTCTACACAAAAGTATAGATTTTATCCCACTTGTCTGAAACAATATGTTCAATCGAGCTGAAAATGTTTTTACAGGTACTAAGCACTGTTTGAGAATGTTTGTTTTTTTGTAATTTTGAAAAAATATTGTTCTAGTCATTTTTTGGGAGTACGCTTTGTATTTTTATCTTTCTATTTCAATGAACGAATATAAATAGAAACAATAAGGTTTCTAAAAACTCGGACACGATAGTTTTTTTTTTTGAAATCTTGTCATTAGAACTTTGTACAAAGTCAACTAAATTGTTCATCGAAAAATCCGTTTTAATATACAAGGTGATACATTTTTGGAAGTCCTAATAATGTCATATAGAGGTATCCGGGCACGAAACAAAGTCGAAATTAAATTCAACTTCAACTTTCTTTCATTCTCAAACGCCGTAAGACGTCTTTGGAACATCAAAAAAGCACCAGTTTGTAATTGTATATTACCAGAGAAAAAAATCTCCGTGCAGGAAGACTTCACTTGTCATCTATGAAATCTTATTATAGAATACATTAGATAGAAAACTCTATTGGCTATTAAAGTTCTTCTTTGAATGTGAGCTAATCGTTTAACATTATAGAAAAATATGTTGTTCTTAAATTTTTTTTTCTAATATTTTATATATGAAAAGGTTTTTTTTTCTTTTCATTTGAAGGCCTTATTCGAACAGAACTTAATATCAATGTATTAATTGTTATGATTATGTTATGTATTAATTCTTTAGTCGGTATATATACATGGTTTTATCGATGGAAAAATTCTAATAAAACTGTAAAAATTTAATTTTCTTTTTTTTCTGTTCTTACCTATTTTGTTTCGTAATTTTAAATTTTTGCATAACGGCACGCTTAAAACCCATACGTTTAGTTAAAGGACGTGGTTTTGTTTTTTCTGTATTTGTTGTTGAAAGATTACTTTTTGTTGGTGTTATTGTTGATAATGGTGGACGAATTTGATTATTTGATGATGATGAATTATCAGGCGTATAAGAATCGGATGGACTATTCATTATTGCAGATGATGTATTACTTCTAGGTGGTGGACTTGTTACTGCTGAACATATGGGAGATAAATTATTTAATCTATTTCGAATTTCTTGTTCATAATTAGATAGATCATGACGTTTTCTACGACCAGGAGATTTTTCAGGATGAACAATATCGTTAAGGCCTAAATAGAAATTTTATGTATGTGTAGATTTTTGAGAAACACAAATAGAAATAGAAATTTTATATACCCATAAGATTATTTTTTACAGATAATGATAAATGAGTTGTACTACGAAGAATTTCAAGTGCACGAACATGAGTTAGATAATCGAAACATTGTCCATTAACACTAAGAATCTGTAAAAAAAAGAATGAATAAAAATAATATAAAAGAGTTCATTTTAGAAATCATAAGGCTTCCATTAACAATGTCAATAATAATCGAATTCTATCATAACAAAGTTGAAATATACAAGTTTCAACATTTCTAAGCATTCTCATTAGGTCAAGGTTAATAGGGAATTTTTCTATCGAAAAAATTACGTCATGCATGTATTGAGTTTTGTTCGAAACAGTTGTTGTTAGCATGAACTAATTTAGATTTTGATATTCTTTTCGATGGAACAAAGTCAAACGGAGAGTAGTAAAGATGATAAAATTTGTTATTCTTATTAGACCGTCTCAAATAGAGATTTTCTTAATACAAACATAAATCTTTTAATAATCAGAAAAAAACACTAATCGAATCTTATCTTTCATTTATTTATAACCTACATGTCGGATGCTTATATTAATGATTTTATTAGTTTTTCTTTTATTTCAAGCATAGTAAAATTACCTGATCACCTCTTCTTAATCCCGCTTCATAAGCTTTGGAATTTTTCTCAACTTTCGATATAAATATTCCATTATTTGCCAATGTATCAGTTCCTCCGAGTATATTAAAATTTAAAACATCATCACGTGTTGATCTTGTTAAAGTAATAATACGTGTACAAGCTTTTGTAAAACAAGCTAAATTTATTAAATGT